AATTGCCCTGCTAGCCTCCGATCTCGCCAACATGTACAGGTGGACGCAACTCAGCTTTCAATGAGTACCACTCTAAAGCGCATCGAGCTATAGCCGACCCTTTCCACACCTTGCCTGAACCTACAGACTCCCCTTAAACATTCTACCGAGCTGCCTTCCCTCTTCTTAGTCGTAGCTTATACAAGCCATCCCGCTGAACATCAACTTGCAAGATCCCCTCTGCGCGCTTACACGAACGGGTTCCAATTACTTCCGGGATAATTTCCTGTCTTTTTAGAGAATATCCTGACTGCGGTTTCATGGTCAACACGATTGCATGGCTATAGTCGGCTGTAGAGATGAATTCTCCGTCACGGCTGGGAAAAGAGTCAGGTAAGGCGGGCTTACGAGTATCCGCTGCCCCCCACTGGAGTTTTCGTTTGGGTCCCCATCCGATGTTCATCTGGAGTCCGGCGAACGAATGTCGCAATACGGAGATTGAACTTGATGCAGGACAGCACTCGTATAAACCGACAAGCTCAGACAAGGAAATCTTCCACTTTCAGAGTTCTCTAACAGCGATCATCATCGTACCGACCATCAGATAGGGACATCACGAGAGGAAATACCAAAAGAATCGGAGAGCAAAGACATGAACCTACCGGAGCACCTCCCGAAGTTCTCCAACAAACAAACCTACCCCACGGCCCTTGTTCCCCCGCGCTACGGGGCTCTTTTTGGGGGCGCATCTTCCATTCTCCCAATTTTCTTCCTTCTTAGTGACCTTACCTGAAGCCCCCCCCAGCTCCATTTTACCCCGCCGAACCGCGGGGCTTTGCGTGCGTGCGTGCGAGTTGCGAGCTCAAAGAGCAAGCATTGGACCACCTCATACAATTGACGACGATATTAATCCGCGCTTTCTCCAACTTCCTTCCTTTACTGGATTCTCTCCTTGTTCTGCAATTCTTTACTTTTTCTTCCTCTCTTCTTCAAGTTTTCTTCCTGCAATTCATTGTCTGCTCTAGATACCCTCCCCGTCGGTGCAATTCGCAGCATCTCCTTCACGTCTTCATCCCCTCCTTTCTCCATCTCACATCACCACCAAAATGAGCCGTCCCAAGGTCCTCCTCCTCGGCAAGATTGACCAGTAAGCTCACCATATCACTCTCTACATGACTCCCCCTTTCCAGCTTCTTCTCCAGACCAAAAGCCATGCGACGACACAACAGCTAACGTGAAGACACCAGCGCCCACGACGCCTGGTCAACCATCGCCGACATCGCCGAGGTCATCAAGCCCAAGTCCACCAACAGAGCAGACTTCATCGCAGAGTGCCGCTCCGGCGCCCTCGACGGCATCAGCGTCGCCTACCGCACCTTTGACTCCGTCTCCGTCACCGGCAAGATTGACGGCGAGCTGCTCGACGTCCTGCCCAAGACGCTCAAGTTCATGTGCCACAATGGTAAAAAAGACACACACACACCCCCCCAACTCCTCTCCCCTTCTCCCACGGAATTGTGCTAACCGTGTCGATACAATGCAATCCAGGCGCCGGCTACGACCAAATCGACGTCCAAGCCTGCACCGCCCACGGCGTCCACGTCTCCAACACGCCCACCGCCGTCGACGACGCCACCGCCGACGTGACCATCTGGCTCCTCCTCGGCGCCCTGCGCAACCTCCCCATCGGCATCCACGCCCTGCGCGCCGGCAAGTGGCGCGGCAACCCGCCCCCCGCCCTCGGCCACGACCCCCAGGGCAAGATCCTCGGCATCCTGGGCATGGGCGGCATCGGCCGCAACGTCGCCGCCAAAGCCCGCGCGTTCGGCATGCGCATCCGCTACCACAACCGCTCCCGCCTGAGCCCCGAGCTCGAGGACGGCGCGGAGTACGTCGACTTTGAGACGCTGCTCCGGGAGAGCGACGTCCTGAGCTTGAACCTGCCTCTCAACGTACGTGCTTTATACACCATTCATACCACCACACCCCCTCTACTTTCTAGTTTCTAACAAACAAACTCCCAGCCCAAAACCCGCCACTCCATCGCCGCCCCCCAGTTCGCCCTCATGAAGCCCGGCATCGTCATCGTAAACACCGCCCGCGGCGCCGTCATGGACGAGGCCGC